GAGTAGAGAAAGATAATTAAATATTATAAATTTGGGATTCACAATAAATTATAAGTATATTATAAGTCACTCTCGTTATAGTGAACTCTTGATATAGTGAAGACTAATTAAAATCTTGATATAGTGAAGTTAAGCTCAAAGCCAGTATATATAAAATTCTCTCAATATAGTGAATTTACTAATAAAGCTCTCGATATAGTGAATTTTTAAAAAATTTTTATTAATGTAACAAATCACTTCACTATAATGAGAGTGACTTGTATTTAGTAATTAATGTAGATCATTATCTAAAGTTAATCTAGGCACTATATTAAAGCTATCATCAAAAAATTAAACAAAAATTGCCTAATATTCCTAATAAATTAAATTCTATCTCTATTATTAAAAATTTTCTGAAGTATTTTCACCAAAGTTTTCTTAAAAACTATCGTAAAGATCTAAAAAATTCTACTGAAATTGTATTAGTACAGATAAAATTTTAAGAAATCGCCTAAGATTAATATAGTATTTAGAATCAATTCAATCAATTCCCAAAATTGAAAGTTAGTAGAATAAGAATCAATTCTGAATTATCTTAAAAAAAAATAAAATTAATAAATAAATAATAAAAGTAAATAAAAATAAAATAAAAATACTTACATCAATTCAGTTTAGAATCATTTGGTATATATTAGGATCATTTGATATAATTATGATAGCCTGTTAATATATATAAAAAATAAATATGCATAATTCTTTAATACTTTTCTATTTAGTATTGCCTTATTGTTATAGACTTTTTTAGCAGTTTGTATATTGTCTATAAATTTAGAGACAAAAAGACTCTATTTAGTTTAGTAACTTTTATATATCATTGATGCATAAAATCTACTAACTAAAAAAATACACTTTGTTTTTAAATTTATATATATACATGAACCTATATGAACTACTGAAAAAGCCTTATATTTGTAATCTTATATTTGGCATTTTTTATTCACGCCTTATATCAGGCTAAATTTAGTAAAGACAAATTAAATTGATAAAAATTAAATAGTGTATATACATTAGACAACAATTCTGTATATATAAATTATTTACTAATATAGTTCTTCTGAAGACCTGAGCTATTCTCTAAAAGGTTGGATATAAAATCAAGTCAGATCAATACAAGAAGTATAATGATACACCAAATTAGATATAGAACTTGTTCTCTTTTAAGAAACTAAGCTATTCTTGAAAGGTCGAATATAAATTTTCTGATCAATGAGAAAAATATGATTATACAACAAAAATCATTTGATTATCATTAGAAATTAGTTCTCTTTTGAAAATCTAAGCCATATTTGAAAAGTCAAACCACTTGATATATGAAGTAAAAAATAGTATTAATTCTCTTTGAAAAGCTAAGCCTTGACTTGAAAAGTAGAATATAAACTCAAAGCCAACTATGCGCAAGCATGCTAAATATCATATAATTTTTTTTCATGAGAGTATTAGAAAATAATGTTAGCTCTTACAAAAACAAAAGTAAATAATGAATAAAATCATGATACTTAAAAAGTATAAAAAACTTTTAAAATCTGTCATTAATCCCATTAATAAAAATTAATTTTTTAATTATATAAACTTATTGATTAGTTTCTTGAATAAAAGTATACTAATTTTTGAGTTTAAAAAATTAAAGATTTTTTCATAACTAAATTATCTTGAAAAACATACCTTTTCAAATAATAAATCACAAATAAGATGCCTAAAAAACGATGATAGTTTAATACAAAAGTTTTAAGTTTAGATATTATAAACCTCTAACTGCATTATGAAGTTTAGTCTAAAATATAGTGAGAAGAAGTTGATATAGAAGTAGAAACAGAAACAAAACATTTTGTGATATCTTACTATTTATGCATATGCATTAAATATGAACTTAACTATAAAAACTTTAACATTATAGTTTTAAATAATACTCAAAACTTATTAAAGCTGAGTTATCAATATATTTGTAGTAAGGCTAAAAGCGAAATTGAATTACATCTATTAGTAGCAATTAGCACATACTATCAACAAGTTTTTGGAACAAAGACTGAATACTCTGATTTAGCTATTATGGGGTTTGAAAATGAGATTGTCAATAAACAATTAATTGCTGATATAGTATTCTTTCTAATATTCTTTTACATTGATAAGCTTAACAGAGTAGTATCAAGTATTGGTAATCTATATAAAGATAGATTTTATAGTATTGGTACTAGATTTGTTTCTTCATTTATAGCATGTTATCATGGAGAATAGCACCTATTTGTGCTAAAAATTGAAGAATATCAATATATTTTAGAAATCTATTTAGAGTTTGTATATATTAATAGAATTATAGAAACAAATTCAGATAAAGTTTGGAACCAAGTAGAACTTTTAAAAAAATATATCAGATCATATCTTTTTAGAATTATGGACCTGTTAGTTCAAAAACATATAAACACATTAAAGAGTAAATCACCTACATGTATTGTCAAAAAATAGATGAACAGATAACAACTAGAAAAAGTGTTTAATTGTCATATAAAATTATAAAAGATTCCTAATA